TCGGACCGTTTTCTGGAGCAAGAGAAAAACGTTCCGTACTCCCCCCCTCCCCCGAAAACGGAGTTACCCGTTTCCAGCCCAGCCAGAAACCACACTGACTTTTGAATTACTGAAGGCCTCAGATCAGGATGTTCTCACCGAACTGAACATCTTAAATACCCGCCTGTGCTAGCCTTTCTTCTTGCAAATAAGTTCCCAGATCTTAGATTTCTTTACTAGGCCTGGGAGCAATTCCACCTACAATTTATTCTCTCGCACTTTCTCTAAGTCTCTGCAAGACAAAAGAGCTGCCATTATAGTCCCACACTGTGTGTGGGTGGGTGCCAATGAAGTATAATTAGGGTGGGCAGAATACATTTAGGACCTGCTGCTTTTCTCTTTGCACTGGCATTTAGTGCAGCTTAGAGCTATTGCACGTTACTAGCATAATATTTCTCCCTATATACTTTGGGGTTGAGACTGGACAAGCACAGGGGATTTGAGCAAACCAGGACTGCCCAAGGGCTCTAACTGCTGCTCTGGAAACAGCCATGAAGAGGAGGCTCTGAGCTTTATTCATATAAAGAAAACCCTTGTAATTCTCAGAGACGAATGCAACACTACTTAGACCTAGAAGAAGGAATAATCCAAACCCAGTCTAAAGTAATCTACTTAGCAAACAGAGGGAAACACTGCAAATGACATACATATGTACAAATTACTTGAGCTGGAGCGTCTTGCAAAACTGACCTATCGAGTGCAGCGTTGTTGTGAAAAGCACACGATTCCTGGGAAAATCCCAACCATAAGTCTAGAGGAGGAGGAAGGCCAAAGAGAAGTCCTTAATGCTCAAACTACCTTCATCTAAAAGGTAAAATCAAAAGAAGCTCCAAATGGCATCACGCTCAGTTCTAGATCCTCTCTTCTAACATCTTGCTGCTGAATCTCATTGAATGCTGCTGTGAGAGTAAAATGTAATTGTTTAGGGTGTACAAAGATACACACTTCTCCAGAAACCACTTTTTAATGTTCCAGATAAGAAACCCATTTCCTTGTTTTAAAGGAAAATATGAATTCATGTTTATAAACATGATTTTATTATGTTTATAAACATACATTTCATGTTTATAAAAACATGCTTATAGAAATTCTTTATAAAGAATTTAAACCCTTTTGTCTGTTTGACTTAGCAGAAACTGCTTTAGTCATTAGTGGTTAATGCATAAATAGGTTTTATGATGCAGGATACTGCATTCAGCTGACCCTTTTTCTCCTGCAAAATATTCAGAATAGGCTTCAGTTTGTATCTTGAAGAAAGGAGTATCAAAACTAAGTGAAAGCAAGCTAATTCCAAATATGAGGGAGGCATGGAATACTTTGGGGGAAAATGTTTATTTAGCAGCTGGCAATTTTATCTTCTAGCTAGTCTAACTTGACTTGAGGATATCCATGGATTTAACTGAAGCTAATAGGCATGTTAGCTGCCGTTTAGTTAAACAGAAGCCTCCGGGAGGAGTTAGAAGATGCAAGTTTCACGATACATCAATTTTCTTTAGCTATGAAAGAATCTTACGTTTTTGCCCACAGTTGTCAGCTTCTCTGTATTGCTAATACCACCGTTTCTAGGTCTGTCCACTAACTGAAATTAGTAAAGTTATCTGATCTTAAGATAACCCTTTTTGGTGTGGAGCTTGGTCTGGTGTGGTCTTAATCCACATCTACTAACCTAATTTACTAAGTAGCCCCCTAACAACTGTACTGACATACCTGAGTGGCGATCAAGCACGGCCCAGCAGGAGTCATTTCCTTAGTAGGCTTCTAAAAAGGCAATGTTGTATAACAACATTGACAAAAATAACTTATTTCAGACTACTATTTTTGTTGTAGTTAGCAACCATGCTCTTTAAAAGGAAAACCATTGCCAGTACATCCTACCTCTGTGGAAGTGTGAGAAAGGAGGTTTTCTTCTCTTCAACTAAGGGCAACTTTGTGTGTTGCAACAATTGTTGCTTATTGGCTTTTACAATGTTGGCAGTTGGGAGACAGCAGAAAAAACGTGCGTATATGTTCAAAGCTGAACCATGGAGCTTTTGGGGGAATGAACTGGGCATTACTGTTAAGGTTGCGAGCCTGTGTATGCATATATGTATTAAAACAAAACAAAAAAAGAGAGAGGGGAAATTGGAGTTTACAGGAATTTAGTGGCGGTGGTGGTAAGGATATAGCTGTGATTTCAGTGCTGTTTGTGCAGTCTTTCATAAATTCTGGCTGTGATAATGGTTTGCACTACCGAGTTGAGGTTCATTCTGGTTTTTAATATTGCATTATTAATTAAAAATACATTAATCTTCCACTTTCATGGTGCTCAGAATGTCAGGACTTGCTTTTATGGTCATTTATTCACACTTCTTTAACAGTACTGGGGAAGTTTTTCTAACTGCTTGCAAGATTTGGCCCTGTAGCTTAGTATCTACTGCCCCCTATTTTTCTTCATCCTGACTTAAGTTTCAGCCTGCTTATAGTCCTGGGACCACTGCCTCCTTTCTGCTCTGACTCCTTCCTCCCTCCTCCTCGCCGCAGTGAGAAGGATCACGTTGGGGTAGGGTTTATTGCTTAGGATTAAGCTGTTTCCAGACTACTTAAAACTCTGTGCTGTAATTCACAGCTGTGCCTCAGAAGATGTGCTTCCCAGCAGATTAATACCTCAGCTTCTCACTGATCAGGTACAGGTGACAAAACAGCACTGACCTTAATACCGCCTGGGATTGAAGAACATGTAGGCCCTAGGTGTAGTAGTAATCCTTTTCTTAAATTAGATCAGTCTTCCTCACAGAACGCATTGCAACATCAAAAAATAATTTTTAAACGTCTCCAGCTTACAGGTTGGATGCAACAGATTCTTCTCAAGCCAGTCAGCAGAGTGATGATGCAATTACAGTCCTTTCTGCGCGCTAGCAGGACCCACGGGTTAACAGCTTAACCTCTGCAACCTGTCACAGCCTATCCTCTACGTTAGACAACTGCAGGTGCGCTAACAGACAAGCTCCATAGTGTGCTTCCCCTCCTGGCAGGATTAGGCAGCCCTTAGTGTCACATTTCAGTGTCAGGACATAGCTTTGTGAAGGTGCGCACCTCCAAGGCCTAAGTTATATGAAGTTCTTTACCTTTTTTTTGGTGTATGGTGTGAATTTCAAAATAACTGGAAATTTACCATTGGCGGTCCTGTACTTCCTCAGAAAGGTATTATTAAACTACTGTATTAAGGAGCTAATATGTATGCATTTCTGTACCTGATTGCAAAATTATGTTTAATACCATCTTTTGTTACCGCAAGTAACCTGAAATGAATCTATTTTACAAAGCTTTTCAGTAACACTTGATGACATAGACTACTGGCTTTTTATGGAAAAAAATAGTTCATATAGACAGGCTTACAGTGAATGCTACAAAGCAATAAGAAGACTTTATAAAGATAATTAAGAACTAGTGAACAGCAAAACAAAAAATGAAGCACAAAATGTCACTGGTAATCTGATAAAATGTATGTAAAAACTGTTAATGCATTCAATAAAGATTTAAACTTCATCTTAAAAAAATCTGCTCCGTAGAAAACATGACTATAGTATTGAGTTCAAATAAAATAGCACTGAATGATGAAACAATAAAAAGAGGGAGAGTCCTCGCTAAAAGTTAAGTATTTTGCTTTCTAAGAATTGAAAGAAACTCTTTTATTTTACTCTTTCTCTAATGTTAGTAGTCCCGAATGATGTTCGCACATCGCTGTATCCCTGCAATTTACCAATAGGCAGACATTTCTTGAATGAACTTGCATAATTTTAACTGAGTCTTTCTTACAAAGGTAAGTCAATTGGTTTATTTGGCATACGTTATGGCATTAAGTTATACCCTGTTACTTCAGTGGAATCTGAAAAAAAATACACGACCAAGTATCTTTGCAGCCATGGTGTGGGAAGAATGAGACCATATGCTGACCCCAGAGGTGGAAGAGGGGTGCCCCCTTTTCTTTCACCATTTACCTTTGAAAGGAGAGATCCTTACCCGCATCCACATTGAATGTT